GAATTTATTTCCAATGACACTCCATACCATCTTCTACATAATAGAAAGAATGGCTCACGGAGATTGTCATGGGACAATCGTTTTAGGATAGCACATGAATCGGCTAGTGCCCTTGCTTATCTTCACACAGATGCTAGAATGTCCATCATACATAGAGATGTGAAGTCTACCAACATCTTGTTGGATGATAGTTACACTGCAAAAATTGCAGATTTCGGTTGGTCTAGTTAACTTAGTCCAATGTGTCTTAAAAAGTTATCGTTGCCGCATAATTTTTTGGTCGATTCACTCTTTATTTGCAAGCAATTTATTTTATAAAAGATATATATAAATATGTACATACACACACATATAGCCATAAATAATTTTGATAGATGGTAAATATTTGAGAAGTAAAGAAGTGATCATAGTGCTTCATATGGTCAATATCGGATTTGAGTGGTCAAGAAATTGCGGCTATGCGAAAAATAAAGGGGGTAGTTTCATAATTTTTGTAAATAGACGGCAAACAGGTTCATATGTGAACTCGTGTGATTTACATATGAACTATATGTTCATATGTGAACCGGTGTAATTTACATATAAACTATTTTAACTAATTCACATATGAATATTTGTCTCCCATATGAACTAAGTAACTGATTCACATATAAACCCGTTTGATTCACATATGAACTATATATTAACCCGTTTGCCACCTATTTGTAGAAGTTATGAAACTACCCTCTATCTTTTGCATACTCATGTAAGGAATTATCTGATGCTTCACAGTCAAAGATGCAAATGTTGACCAGATGAAGGGTTATGATCACTTCTTTACTTCTTAGATAATTACAACTTCTCAAAACCTTTCCCTTTATATATATATATATATATATATATATATATACACACATATTAGTGGTGTATCCGTGTGATGTAACGCAGATGAACCATAATTCTGAACATTAGTTTAGTCTTGAATCATAAGTTTGTGTGATTATTTTAAAAGTTAACTAATATATGAAGTTAAAAGTAAATACAGTATATTAACAATATCGAATGAAAAAATATGGGTTTTTAAACCCATAACCCAAAAGAAAGACCAAAAGTAGAATAAACATTTCTTTACCGAAAGATGAAATCTAATACGTGGACCACTTAAATCTTGGGTATTCTCAAATCTTGAGATTTTGATGATCCCAAGTTGCTATTGAGATGATTGTATAGGAAAAAAATGGATTTTATCTTAAAAGAGTAGAGAATGGCTTATAAAACTAAAAGTAGGTTTGTTATTGAGTTGTAATTTATCAACAAAATTTGTTTATAATATATTGTTTTGTGTTTATATAATTATTTCCACTCATTTCCTTTTGTTGTATTTGGTTTAGTTATCAATTAACAAAATATATTTCAAATTAACTTGCATAATTTATAAAAAATACTTTGTCATCACCGAACAACGCATGTACGATACCACACACTAATAAAATGTAAGAACCCAACTCATTAATTAGCACCAGAACAAAACTAATTGAATGACTATCGAATTTAGCATAGCGAAAGAGAAAGAATGCAAGATAGGTACAATTTTTGACATAAGATTTTATAACTACACACTAAAATAGAACTTGATTTTATGACAGTTATACAGAATTATAAATCTAAAGTGTTATTATACTTTATTAGAACAGTTGAACTGTCCTAATGACCACTTTCGTAGTAATGACATTTCTATTAGACTATGATGTAATTATCAAAATTAAAAAAGAGCAAAAGTTTAATTACATTGGTGGGAAGTAATAGTGTGAAATTGTTGTAATAAACAACCCCTTTCATAATCTATAAAATATTTTAACCTCCGACATATGTTAACGCATACGTAATAATTATACCCTTCAGAATATTATTTTATTATGTCCAACGGTTCATCATCAACGACATCATAGATTCAATATGGTTGCCTTCCAAAATACACGGTAGGCTTACAAGTTATACTCGGCAAGCTTCGACTTGACTCAAGTCGAGTAAGACATCTACTATTTAGTAATCCACAAATAATCAAAGAAAGATAATATTAATTTCCATAGTTAGATTTCTCAAACATATTTGCACCTATAGTCATTACAACAAAATTGGGTTTATAAGACACTCTCAATAGACCGTTTTATAGGACTAAATTTTTAGGACCAAAATATAAACCGTCTTATCTAAAGGTGTTCTAATAAGTTTATATGATGCTTTTAGGCGTCTTCACAAGTTTTTTAGGACATTATTAATACAAAGTGCCGCATTAGTAACTTTATATGACACTTTTGAGAAAGTGTCCTATAAACTCAAGTTTTTATAGGACATTTGTTTTTAGGACAGTGACGGGTGTCGAGTCCGGCAAATAATAAAATTTATAAAAATAAGCCTATTACCTCTAAAACACAACTTGTGATAGCGATAAGTAGGGTCGTCTCCTCAGGGACTCGGTATTAACCGTAAATCCAAGACGTAATCTCGTACAAATTCATTTATAATAAAACAATATATATAAAAGGGGGGGGGGGTTGGATGATTTATAAACAGCCTAAAAATGCAAAATAAATTGAGAATTTAAACAATAATGAAAACGARACTAGTAATGAGCATCAATCAACTAATCATTTGGATTACATATCATCGACTCGTTCAAATAAATACTTTCTCGATAGAATTCAGTTTGGCGTGAACATTARACAYGCGTCAATGCCCCATTTGTTACAAAAGCACGACTAGTGTAAAACGCTTTAACAGCTAATCTCTAATTAGCTAATCTAGTCTAGTCAAGGACTTAGAGTTCAATTGCTAATCGCATTAGGACCAACAAATACCAAACCTAACCAACAATCGGACGCCGATTATTTGGGTTAGATTGTACAACCTTACGACACTTGCAACTAACACACAYGYMTCAATTGGRTATCGCTTGCTACTCCAAGAAACMTAAGAACAATTACGTATTCAAAAATTCCTCTAGCATAACGAGTTCAAATCAGAAAAAKCAAGGGATCCAACTCACAAATTCCAACTTAAAATGTACAGGACTGAAATTCAAAGA